TGGTAAATTTAATCTAAAATTAGCCTGGATGTCAAGTAAGATCCTGAAGCTAAGTGCTGTTAGTAAGAGAAATGGTATCCTATGGGAAGTGGTAGAACTTCCTTTCCTTTAGATATTTAAAACTAAATAGGATAAAGCACTTAAAATAAATGTTTTGCTGAAAAAATCCTGCATCTATGTTGGCAGGAGAGTTATCTGCATGATTTAGTGTTCCCTAGACTTAATTTTAATAGACTAGATAGCTTAGTTGAGAGGAATATAACTCATTCCCTCATATGGATACCAAGCGTACATCATACATCTTGCATCATGTGTCTTAGTGTGGGTAAAAGTGGTTTTGTTCTCTGCACAAAACTTGGTTGAAAATGAAGGCCATCCTGAAGGAAACTGGTTATTTGTGTAGCATGTGTTGACATGAGATTGTCCTTGAGAAGCTGCTTTGGGTTCCCTTTTTACCATCAGCACCTAGAACAGTAGCATAACTAGGGGTGGGTGGAAGGGGTATCAGTCCCAAGCACCAACTTAGGAGGGGCACCAAAATTGTCCCCCACCCTGCAGAAGCTGCGCTGTGGCAGCAAGAACAGCTCTGTGCAATTGTTGTTGAAGCAGCAGCTGATGCATTGCAGCTGCAGCCAGGGACTGTTTTGGGTAAGACTCCTGTCCTGTATCCCTTGCCCCTCCCTTTGCCATCCCCCCCTCCCTCCTTCCCCTGCACCCTGCTCCGCCCCAGTGTCCTGCAGGGTTTGCCTAGGGCACAAGCCCTACTTGTTACACAACTGAGGTGGAAGTTATTTGCTGAACAAGCACTACATGTTTTTTTCAGTCCAACACATGAATACTAACTTTTTCTTCTGTTCTTTGCAGTTCATAGAAATGAGGGAGGTGTTTGGAAGGAGGGGGCTTTAGGAATTAACGTGAGAAATTGATGATCTGTAAAGAAAGGTTGTAGGAGCGTAGGATCTCTCTGGATGAACCTCATGCTTGTACCTGTCCACAGCCAGCAAGGATTCAGTTGAAATGTTGTGGAGGTATTGCATACATTCGTATGTTCCCTAGTAGACTACAGCCTGTTGAAATTTACACTCTGGTTAAACTTTGTGCGTGCGTATCATCTTTGGCATGTCAGGAACCCTATGTAAATATATGACAGTGACAGCTAAAATTCAGTACTTTATACCTGGATTTTTAGATTAAATTAAAATGTAATTTCTTTTCCAGGATCCCCATGCGGAGGAATTTGAAGACAAAGAATGGACATTTGTCATAGAGAATGTAAGATGCAACAAAATGTCATGCTTTTTTCTTTTGTGTGTGTGACACTTAAGGACTCCCAAGGGTCAAACGTCTCTTTTAATAGGATGTGTCTGACTGTTAAAAAGTTTGGGTAAATTGAGTTGTTGAACCCTTACTGAAACAGTGCAAAGTGAAATATTCTTTCATTAAAATAACTGTTATGGATATGTGTATTCAAATCTAGGTGGGATACTGACATACTTAAATTGCTTCCTTATATTGTAAAATCAAGATCCTTCGTGCTTTAGTTTTTATGAACAATGTAGGGAACAAATTAATTAAGAGCTGACATACTCAGCCTATAGTTCTTAAACTGCATTTTGCTTTTGTTGGTTTTGCAGGCTATATCTTTTTCTAAGGTATATATGTTAAGATACTGTAAATCATGATGATAATACTGCCTTTCTCACACAACAGTTTACATCAGCAGATCTCAAAGTCTGCTTGTGATAGGACATGAGTATCATCAGTGTCATTTTACAGATTAAAAAAACCTAAGATAGAATGAGGTGTAGTGGCTGGCCTGCTGTCACCAAACAGACCAGTAGTAGTCATGCAGTGAACCCAGGTCTCCTGATTCCTTATCCAGTTCCCTGACCACCAGACCATTCCATGCCCTCTGTTGTCAAGTTAAAGAAGAAAAAGGCAGTTACTTCTTCAGGGTGACCTCTATGTATTTCCATAAAAATTATGCTTTTGCAGCTTTCTAGGAAACCATGCCTTTGAATCCCACCCACTACCTTGTGGTAGTAAACTGTCAAGTTTGTACAAGTGAAATGTAGTCTTTGGTTCCTTCCCCCACACTTCCCCCAATCAGCTGCAGGTATAGCAGCCTCAGCTCTGCCAGGGTCTGCTGCCTTCTGCCAAAAAAGAGAGAAGCATTTTTACTTGAAGTTATCCATTCATTTTTAAACGAATTTAAAAGAATTATGAAACCAAAAGGAACATTTTTATATGCAGTCCACAAAGTACTTCAGTTTTAGTCTACTTCTAAACACTGCTAAGCAGTCCAAGAACCCCTGAAGTTTCTTATTTTAATATTGCTTGTGTTGATTTTACTTTTCATCTAGAGCAGGGCTGTTCAACTTCCAAGCAGCTGGGGGCTGCACCAGTGGGGGTGGGAGGCCTCCAGGACTGCACACTGCATGCCCCTTGTGCTGCATGCCCCACTGCACCCTATACCTCCTCCTTCCCCACATTGGAACAGTGGCTACACTGTGTCTGGGCAGTCACTCTAGGGCCCTGTTGCACTGTGTGATGGATGCCCTGTCTCACCCTCAGCTGCCCAGCTGTAGGCTCCCCTCCTGTATTGCACCTTTAAGGTCCCTCCCCAGCACTGTAGGCTGTGCCACGCTGCATTGGACCAGTAGGGGAAGCAGCAGCCTGGTGGGAATCCAAGGGCTGCAGTTTAACCCCTCGCAGGCTGCCAGTTGGACAGACCTGAGTGTCACAGTCCACTTTAAAATGATGTTGAAAAACTTATAAGTTAAATTTGCCTTAAGTCACTTAAATCTATGCTTTTAAGCAATAAGGCTTTTCTTTTTTGCTTGAGTGAGTTCTTTGTCTCGTTGTGTCAAAAAAAATAATCCAGGTGTGTACAGTTAAGTGAACTTTTTGCTCATGTGCAACTGATCAGTTAAAATATTGCCAAAAATTTTATAAAGCAATGTATTAAATGTGATTGTGGTCTGAATAGTAATTGTAATAATCATTTTCTTACATAGTAGATCATTTGCTGCTTGATCATGTCTGGTGACAAAAACTAGTTTTTGCTGCTTGTTTTGTTTCTTGTAGTAGTGCAGAGCAAACAGAGTTAAGAAAGATTCGACTCCTGGTGTAGTATTATGCTCCTTTTGGTATATCTGTATTTTCTAAGTCCTAATAATTTATACCTATGCAAATGCAGTGAAAGCAATGGAATTTGAAGAGATGTTGCTGAGCATGTAATCCAAAGGCATGAGATTTTTAGGGGTATAGGGAAGGGAATACTCAGTATTGCCAGCCTGAAACTTTCAAAAATGTATAAATCAGCACCCTCAAAACAATTAGCTTTTAAAAAAAATACATATTGCAGATTGTTAAAACTTGCCTTTTGTTCTTTAGTCCTATTGAAAATAGTGTTAGCTGACAACCATCATTGCTAGGTTAATTACAATGTGCAGAGTTTGTGTACATTGACAGCCATTTTGCTTGACTTCAGCCCCCATTGATACTAATGGTTGCTGGTGGATATTTTGCATAAGGGAAAATTCACAAGAAGGAAGGAGTAGGACTGTCACGTGAAAGATGATGAAGTCCTCCATACTTTATGAGACTTATGATAAAATAGCAAGAACCAATTCTGTCTAGTGTAGCCAGCAGAACTTTACCATAAGTGATGATGTGTTATGAAGTGGAAAAAAACTAAATTGTTTTCTCAGAATCCAAGTCGAATCAGTACAATAGGGCAATCAGAAAAAAAGATACTTTGTTTGTAAACTGAGCCTGTTTGATTGGGAAATTGTTGGAAGGCAAGCATGCTGTCCTACAATGCAGTTTATATAGTCTCTTATTGGAACAGGAATATTTACATTGTAATTGCTTGACTGTGGCTGAACTGTCCAAGTAAATCTAGTAAAAACATAGGTAAGTTCTATGTTGTGAATACTTTGAGGTGCATCAAGCTAGAAATCCTCTGGGGTGTTGCTTAAAGAATTAATGTTCCAGTTACTATAGTATCCTTAAAGAGTTAATGTTCCAGTTAATATTAGGATTACAAAGGGATCAGCAGCAAAATAGTTAATTTATACTGTGGTTTTGTAAATGTCAGGTTGCTATTTTAGTTTATAAGAATTAGTAAATAGAACATAATTTAGTTATTGTTTATTTGGAATTTCCTTTTCCTCACATACTTAGTTTGTTTTAAGTAAGGAAGTCTCCATCATCAGTTGTTGTGAGTGCATCAGAGCTGAGCACAGTATTCCAGCTGAAACAATGGCAGTATATCCCATCTTTGGGTATATTTGGGTTTCCAGTGGTCTTGGTAGAAGTTGTTTTCCAGAAACCTGTAGCATACATTTTAGGTTCTATTGAGTAACGTCTACTTCTTCTCCCTTTTACATACTGAAGGAACTATAGGCAGTGTATTCTAACACAGTATTTGGGGACAGTTTGAAAACTGTACAATTGAGTGCATACATGGTGGTCCTATAATCTTTTGATTTGGTAGTTCCAAGTTAATTTTATATTCCACCTTTACCCTGGCAGAGAGATTGGAAGGGGGAAGCAATTCAGATTTCAATATCCTTATCTCCTCAATAGCTTGCTTCCTGTTCATCATTGGGTTGGCCTTGAAATTATGTATAGATGGACGATACTGTTTTTTTCTAAACTCTGTTTATAGGCAGTAATCCCTCTAACTCAGTTTCTGAAAGAAGTGCCAAATTTAGGGCATTGTTTTTGACTAAAGCCTATTTACCAATATATATTAAAGTGGGCAAAACAGAAGAGGAGATCCTATGCTGTTTAGTCATCACACATCTACTTCTCTTTGGAGATAGTTTTTTTCTTTATAGATTTTTTTAGATACAAAGATATAAGAAATTAATTTCTTACATCCATGTGCTCTGAACTCAGTGGCCTTTCCTGGCTTTGCACTCTGCTTTTTATTCAACTCCAAATGCCGCAATTTTACTATATACTAAGCAGAAAAATCCTTTAACTTGATTTTTAAAAAGTAAATTCCAAAACTAATGCAACTCTTCACAAAGTGCTTTCTAGTCTGAACATTGTTGAACTAATGGATGGGGCAAGTAGAAGTGAAATAATGTCCAAAGAATAAAACTGATTTTGGTGAAAGGAGGGTGTTAGAGTTTGGAAATGATACACTGTAATATTTTCTTAGCAAACTACAACAGACAAATTATCCTGAAGAGAGAAGAGAGCTCATCCTGTATTTAACAGCAGTTCGATCTCCATGAAAAGTGGAGCTGGGATTTTAGGTACTTGGAATTACTATGTATTTAAAGACAAACTTTAGTGATGTCATATAAAATGGAATAGGAATAATAAGAAAATTAAGAATATGAAGGAAGTAATTAGCACTAATTCTGAAAATATTGCAGAATGTAAATCCTTGCATAGTTATTTTCTTTTAATGTATTTCTGGAAGATGGTGTTAAGTTAAAAGGCTTATGTGATCTTTTTAAGAGTTTGCAAAATTCCCATTCAAATTATGAGAGTAGTGTTCTGTATGAAGGGTAAGTGTGCCTTAAATGGTGATGCAGTACCTTCTCACTGTGCAAGTGTACATCTTCTTAATTTTTCTTTCTTTCTTTCTTTCTTTTGACTTTGACTTTTAAGATATATTTATTCCGGGGAGGGTGACAAATGCGGGGCAGTAGAAATCATGTACAGGTTGGTCCGAGGATCTGGGCCTCAAGGATAAGGCCTGGGCTCATGGCCTGCAAGGCCTTCCCGCACACTCTAGACAAAAAAACAAAACAAAACGGAAGGGACAAAAGAAGTATATACATATATACAGTTCTACAGCGGGGATGCCCAGGTGGGCCTCAGTACATCAAGGGTCAGCCCGCATGGACAAAGCCCAAGGTCTCGGCTTGCTGGACCCACCCCCGCACCCTGATCAGGTGGTGGCATCACAGCACAAGGAGCAGGCGTCTCCCCTCGACTTGGCACAGCACCCCCTCGACGACCCAGCGTTCCTCAAAGGTGGGCATCGTCCGCTGGAGGACTGCATGCTCAAACTCAAGTAAGAGGCGGGCCCGCATCAGCAGGCGGAACTGCTGCAGGGCTTCATCCATCCCGGTCCCAGTGAACCAGTTTCAGCTGCTCCTCAGGGTGGCCATCTTAGCCTGGCCCACCAGGAAGTTGGCCAGGTTGACTGCGCCCTGCTCAGCCATCCGCTCAGCCATCCGGTATGGGAAAGAGCAAATGTATGTGTCCTCTGAAAAGTCCCAGCTCAGTGCCCAAAGCAGCGC